ATATTAGCTTTTCTACTGTTTCTATCTTTTTCATTTGACAGAGATCAATGATCCCTCTTGTTCTTACATTGAATTTTCAGTGGACAATGCCAGCTACAACTACAACTCCATCAACCCTTTTGTCCTTAAATGAAAGTTATTATTTCCGCTTCAGGTTCGAGTGTTATGGTAGGATGGACAGGTCCTTCCACGCTTAATCAGAGGTTTTAAATTTGAGCCTTAAGTATGAAAAAATTCCTGACAGGAAACACTCTCCTATTAATGGATCTAATACGGCGTAAATCCGGATTAGTCTGGGCGAATGCAAGTACCTGGTAGAAAAAGAAAAATGTTTACTATCTTCACCAATCCTTGTACTCATTTTTTACTTTAAGTTCTGAACAAGTCAAAAATTATAACCACGTGATATGTCTTCCGTCAAAATATACGAAAACTCACTAACATCTACAGTAAAATTACAAGTGCAGTGGTCCGACTGGGTATTAGTTACCCTTATTTAGAGGACGTGGCTGGCGTATCTTTTTTTTAGCTTCGTATATAACTCTCTTTTTCATGCTTTTTTGTTATAAGTTTGATCTCAGGATGAAAGCCTACATAAAAGTGTATTAGTTCTTTGTACTAACAGTATATAAAAGAAACTGTGTTGGTGGAAAAAGGACATGACACATGGACCAACAACAAGGTGACAAGTGACACTTATAATTGGGTCAATAAAGAAAAACGGAAAGGCAGTGTTTTATCAAAGGAGATATCGGTTCTAATAGCTGTAAAAGAAGAAATAGGCACGAGATGATACTATAAAAGAGGAAGATTCACGAATCTGTTATAATTATGGAAAGGGAATTAGCTTAACTTTGATTACGGGTGATCCTCAATTATTATTGTAACCGTTACAATTAAATAAGGTAACAGGCAATCAACACAATTAATACCATTAACAAGTTCTAAATATATGCAATTAGTCTTTTACTTTATTTGATTCAAGAAGTCCAATCCGCAATTTTAGGGGAAATTAGCAATCATCAATAAGCTTTCTTTCCTTACTTATTATTTCCATTATTATTTTTTCTATTTTTGCATTGCCAAGAAAGTGAAGTGATTTTAATTACCAGTAACTCGATTTTTCTTAATAATAACTTTAACCATAAAAACTATTTTTGGGTTAAACAGAAGCCAAATTAGGAACCATAAAAACTATCACACTATTACAGATAGTGTGATGTTTTTGCAGTTTCCCCTTTGTTTGTCTCAGTTGTTATAGAGGCAGACAAATTAGGAACAACTTTTGTTAGATGCATTAATATGTGTAATGAAGATGCTACTTGTAAGTACTGCTATGTGCGGATAAAATATATAAACTATTTTATCTTCTGATCAAGAGCAAAAAAAGAAGATATTCAATAACAAATAACTCGCAGCACCATCTATCTATATATAAATATAAAGGTGAGAATAGAAAAGATGACGTGACATGCCTCTTTAACCAATATGACAATTTATCTTTTTTCTCATAATTTTGAACTTTTTTCTTATTTTTTGTCAAAAAAATACCAAAAAATATATTTTTATTCTCATTATTACTCCATTTTTTTCCCATCAAATCCCATTTAATTTCTCTTTCTTCCGTTTTCTTCATCCTCATATTACTACATTAATTCTTTTTCCTCAAATCCTTCTTCCTTCCTTACTTTTCTTCCATTTTCTTTTCCCTCATTATTACCCTCTTTATTTCTTTTCCACAAATCCCTCTCTCTTCCTTCTATGTTTTCATTTTCTTAGAATGTGTTTTTTTATCTCTATAAAATCCAAAATTAAGGTTGGCAAAAGTCTAAAAAGAAGTCGGCGTAGGAGAAATC